GTGAATGTGTATGTGTATGTGTATGTGTATGTGTATGTGTATGTGTATGTGTATGTGTATGTGTATGTGTATGACTTGTGTATGTGAATGTGTATGTGTATGTGTAGGTGTATGTGTGTGTGTGTGTGTTTGTGTGTGTGTGTGTGTGTGTGTGTGTGTCCGTGTGTGGGGCGGAGTGTGCGCGTGTGTGTATGTGTGTGAGACAGAGCATCGTCGGTTCGCGTGAATCCAACTGTTTCGTGTTAAAAGGCCGAACCAAAAAATAAACGACGCCACGTCTTTCATTTTGTTCGCGTAACACCACAAGTTTTTTTAAAGGCCAACTGAATACACATGCACGAACAAGGTATATACAACGCGCGTGGAAAAAAAAATTTTGAATAATGATTTACCTGATCACTACATGAATGGCCGAATAATAATGTATGTGCTATGTGATATAATAATGTAATATGAACGGAGTCTTACAGAATAACGACAGCTAGTAAGGAGATAGAAAAGTTTCTTTTACTTGTTTTTGTAAACACAGATGAAAACCAACAGCTAACTCGGCCGTTCGTGTAGCGTGACAGCGCAGCATACCTTAGTAAGACCAAGCACGCCGATCGCGTTGCTGTAAGAAATCACACCAACCGAGCAACCCATGGATCCGGATAAGAAGCAGCCGATACCTGGCAGAGAAAACAAGTGTGCATTACGCATGGCATGTAAACCCAAATTTACTTTATTATTCACACACACACACACACACACACACACACACACACACACACACACACACACACACACACACACACATATATACATATTGCATAATGTAATACATATATATATACTAATATAAACAGATCCTTCTTAGTTTTTGGTCCCTTCAACTCGTAATCTATAGATGATGGCAGTCTTCGTCGGAATAGCAATGATTTAATTCCCCCTCACACATCGTGCGCAGCCAGTGAGCTAATTAAGTGGATCATGCGTAGATGACCGGTGTCCAGCAATACAACAATGTCGGATGTGGCGATAACGGGTTTCGTTGGCTCGTCTTGTAGGAGGAAATGCACGCGGAAATGACATTCCTGCATCGCTCATACCCGTGACTCGCCTTCCGCGTGTGAGTCGTGAGCCGCCGCGTCCCCATTACTCGATGTCCAGCCAGTCACGACTGTCTCGGTTACGTTGACACCGCCGTCGTCTCGATTCTGAGCCAGCGGGAGATACTGCTCCCGTCGAAACTGCGGTAGAATCGGGATATACTTGCTCAGAGCGAACCTGCCCAGGAAGTCCGTCACGTAGGGTAGATCGTACGACAGCATGGAACCGCCAGTGTAGGTGGCGCCACCGTGCTCGCTACTAATTCTGGCGTTGAACTTTATGATGCCTCTCTCTTCGGGAGTGCCTAGAATGAATGCGTTTTTAGCTGCCTGCAAGACCACAACTGCCTCAAGGTTCTTATCTACCAACGATAACATTTATTTATATTTTTTTTATTGTTTCACCTTTAGTAAAGGGCATTCATATATACTATGATACTTTTTTATATATTTTACTCTACGAAGCATGTCTATTCAGCAATGGGTAAATGTGTGTAAACACGTCTGCTACAATGATATTGTAAGCGGGCAGATTCCATATGCCACGCGGAAGCGATGGTCATGCGGGGAAACGCAATCTTGGCGCCGCAGGGTCGAGGGATGTGTCACAACATGCTGCGGGTGGACACTACGCGGGTCGAATTATTATGAGCATAATCATTATGTGGTTCGAATTGCATTTCAATGAAACGTGTAACGTACCTGGCGCTGTATTATCTAGAATGAAACCGACAACGCCTCCGATGAAGAAGCCCATTGATAGGAACATCGTTATCGCTTGATCCAGCGTGGTAACTCCTGTGCTTATATATATATATGAGTGTAGGGTAAAAGTGTAGGGTAAAAGACATTTTATGCTTATGACAGACAAAATAATTTATGATGTTTCTGACAATGGGCGCCAGAAGTACATGAACCCCACGTTGAATTTTCTTTGTCAGAGCGATACACACCCATCCCTACTATTACTTTATTACCTTCTAGTCTTACATTGTAACGCTTTTATTGCTTGACCGGAACTGGCTAACGCACAGAGCAGTCATTAAATATATAGTTGTAGTATATCAAAGAATACATTTATACATGATAAAAACGAAAGTGAAGCGATTCTAACCGGTAGCAGACGATAAACAGCTAGCAGACAGTGTCGCGCCTTATTGCACCCAGGCATCGCTCCTTGTAACAGCGAAGGGAAGCACACGTACAACTAGACAGAGTGCACTCACGGAGAGCGCATACCTCCGCCAGCAACATACGCCATACGCCATAGGACTCACGAACACACGAATAACCCAGGATATACGCCAGCCTACTGACATGTAGACGCTGGCTTGCTGGCTTGCTGCTCGCTCGCTCGTAGCAGCCGCTCGTTGCTGCTGCTCGCTCACATGTACACGCTCGCTGGCTCGCTGCACTGGCTGGCTGGCTCGTTGACTCGATAATATCGATCGCGCGAACACACGAACACACGAGAGCGATCACATAACCTCCTCCAACTCCGTTGGGCGGAGGTAATAAATAACACAAGCAATAAAACTCGCAAATCACTGATTACGTAAAGTAGGCCGATTACCTTCGCATAGCAATGCCCGGTTTACCGCGTGCGCTGGAGGCGGAGGCAGTTGGCAGATTTTTGCGCATGCGTAGTAGTCTCCGATGGCTTCAAGAATTCCGGAGAAGATGCCTATTATCATGCCGACAAATGACGCAATGCTGACGGTCGGCATGCCAAACTGTCCTAGTGATAAACATGCGGAAAGGTAGAGCGTATGATAGCGCGCAAGCGGGTCTACGTTAAACGTTAACGTATACCTACCATAGAAGTGTCATGCCATAGGTTCGCATTTACATTGTATTATGCATTATAATTAATTCTAACGAGTACATTATGACGATAGTATTTGTCAAAATACACGGTTTCAGATAGATTTACCTAGCGTTTCTCTCGTTTCATCAATTTTGTTAATTATTTCGTCCTCACTACAAGAAATATAAAGAAATAAAACCCATGTGCACAATGTGACTGATGATCAGGTAATGTAACGTCTGTTTCTCTCTCTCCCCCTCTCTCCTTCTTCACACAATCGTGTGCGTGTGCGTGTGCGTGTGCGTGTGCGTGTGCGTGTGTGTGTGTGTGAAGAAGGAGAGAGGGGGAGAGAGAGAAACAGACGTTACATTACCTGATCATCAGTCACATTGTGCACATGGGTTTTATTTCTTTATATTTCTTGTAGTGAGGACGAAATAATTAACA